ACCTAGAATGGTTAAATAATTATGCTGTACTCATTCCATGGAATATTTTGCAGCTATTTAAATGAAATATACATATATTTTTTAATATATACATATGGAAAAATGTCCCTGATGTGTTAAGTGGAAAGAGCTGGTTAAAGGGTAGAATAAATGTCATACCACTTTTGTTTCTAAAAAAGGAAAAGATATGTATGTATGAGTATGTATGTATATATATGTATGTTTGTATATATATATAGTTGTTGATAAAAAGAGAAATTATGGGAGAAGCCCTAGCAAACCATCATGGGCTCCCTTGGGAAAGTGGAATTAGAGGGGGACAGAGAGATGATTTTTTCCTATATATGGCTTAATATTATTTCAATATTACACCAAGTCTATTTTTTAAATACTTTTTAAAAGCTAATAAAATATAAAAGAAAAACCAGGGAATGTGCATGAAAAAACACACAAAAAAACCCCAAAAACATGGCCCCAAGAAACCAACAGGGATTCAGGAACAGTTGGAAACGCATTCGGAAGAAAATAAGCTCCAGCTATTGACAACACCCAAACCCTGCCACTTAACAGGTGGGGGAAACTCAGAGCTATTTACCCTGGAGAAGAGAGTAGATGGGAGGGGGTGAGGAAGCTGGGATGGAAACAAAAGGAAATAATGGCCATTTGCAAATATTTAATATGCAGCTGTGTCACCTGATATCCACTGGAGCCCTCGATTTTTAGCCAGATGCATGGCTACCCCAAACAGAGATTGCATTTGCCACCATCCTTGCCACTGGGCATGACTCTCTAAGTTCTGGCCCCCGTCTGTGAACACGCAGGGTGTATGTAACTTACAGCTTAAAGCTTTAAAAGGAAGGGGCAGAGCCCTGACCATGGGACCAGCAGATAGTTAGCATTCAGTAACTGTTTATGGAATTAATTGGATTTCCTGTTTGCCTGTTTGTTTTTGCTTCAGATTGTAAGACTTTTATTGTAAAATAGAAAACAAAAACAGAAACCCCACAAAACAAGTGCATAGCTTAATAATATAAGATGAACAGAACCGAAACCATTCCTCAGGTCAAGAAGCATTGGACACCTACCCTGGAAGCCTCCATGAGTCCCCTCTATTCACAAGCCTTTCCCTTTCCCCCAAAGTAAGCACTATTCTGACATAAAAATCACCCAAGAGGAACTTTGTATTTTGGTTTGAGACAAAGAGAGAAAAAGCAATCAACAGAACCGACTGGTTTTCATTTTAGTGAATAACTCACAGCCCTAGTGAAGGACTCCGCTCTCATGAACAGATCCTACGGCGTGTGGTCATTCCCAGCGCAGTTCTGCATCTGCTGCTCCCGCTCAGCCTGACTGAGCTTTCACTTTTTGTTCCTACCACTGTGTGTACGTCTGACCACTCCAGAAGCCTCGCTAACAGGACAGACAGTGACTCCCAGAGCTCCCCTCCCTGGGAAGCTGCATCCACGCCCTACCTGGGCAGAGGCTGCTCCCCCAGAGGGCTGGCGGGGCAAGGCCGAGGGCTGAGCTGCCATCCCAGCCTCCTCTGTGGAGAGCCACCGTCGTCACACCATGGAATGACTGACTGGGTGAGCGAGCTTTCGCACCTCCATCTCTGGAAACAATGACAGAGGCTCTGAAACCAGTTTGAAACCCAAACACCGCGGCTTGACTTTTTCTAAACTGGTGTCTGTGGGTAGGTTAAAATGATCAAGCTTTAATTTCCAACTATTTCTATGTTGGACCAGAATGAGACAGTGGAAATTCATTATAATGCTGCGTTTCCCAATGTATGAGACACATTACACCTGGGGTTTGCAAGATGATTCCACGGGGTACACAAATGAACATATTTTCGTTAAGAATGTATTTGCTTAAGTTCAGTCGTGTATTTTAAGAATTGTATAGTTATTTTCAGTTACATTTTATTTGGGACAAGTAAAAAATGTTTTTGTTTGAATTCATTGTTATACAAATAAGATAGGTGTTCTTAGACGACTCAAGTTGGGGAGACAGTTCCTCAAGGTTCACATCTACCAGTGAAATTATGGCAGCAGAGAATGCCAAAGCATGAGAAACCTTGGAGGCTATCCAATTCAATTTACTATTTTATTTACTTATTCATACAATAAATATTTATTGGGCATTTACCATTTTTAAGGGTCTTGGCAGAACTGCAGTGAATCAGAGAGGGACAGTCTAGTGAGAGAGACAGATATTAAATGAAAACACTGAATGAAATCTTAAAGGATTAGGAAAAATTAACCAGGCAAAGCAGGACTTGGGGATGGAGTTGGAGGCAGGTGGTGGGAAGAGAGGAGAGTGTGTGAGACCTTCAGAGGGCAGTGTAGCTAGAATACAGAAGACCACAGTCCCTCATTGAGCAGACATTTGTGTAAATCTCTTGTGGTAGCTAATTCAATCTGAACCAGACTGGAAATGGAGGCCCAGAAGGCGAAGTGATTTGAGATTGATAGGCCACGCATTCTAAGAGCAGCAGGGCCAATGCCTCAGTCCATTCTTTTATGGATTCATACACTCACCACATACTTACTCAGTGACTGTGTGCAGACCCTGTTCTATGTGCTGAGGATCCTACAGAAACAAAACAGACAAAAGTCCTGCCACACAGAGCCAATATTCTGATATGGTGGAGACAGTCAATAAACAAACAAGTCAATACAAGCATGGCAGTGGGAAAAGTGATGAGGTATAACAGGTTGGGAGGGGAATCCATATTTTGTATGCGTGACCCTCTGACAATGCAAGCAAAGACCTCAAGGAAGTTGGGACAAGCTGGGTCTCTTGACCTCACTGAGGGCTCATTCTACCACTCCAGTCTACTCGCTGGTACCCAGGCTCCTTCTGCTCTACCCTGAGGTAAGAACAGATTCAGCTCCTTTAGTTCTAATCTTATGCTGATAGACAAAACATTTTAATAGAAAATTTAGTCTCCTAGGTATGACCCAGAGGGGATCTACCAGAAGGAATTTTTCCTATAAATGTTAAATGGCTTTGGGATTTCTAAAGCATCTCATGGGCATTCAGGGTAAGTGCCCATTTTTTAAATGTAACCACCTCTGGTTCTCATAAAGTCCAAAGTGGAACCTGTGAATCAGAAGGAAGGCTTCACCCTGAGCCCACAGTGACCCCACTAAACACACTTTCCTCACTATACATGAGAACATCAGCTTCTCTCTTTTTAGCTGCCTTTTCAATATACCAGTCTTTATACAAACACTAAGACCATGCTTTTTCCCTCAACATTTGCAAAAGTTTTTTTGTGAACAGGCACAAGCACATGGATATTGGTTTTTACTTGATGATGATTTTTTAATTTCTATAGTGTTTCTGACTGAGTTTAGCAGCCTATTGATTGTTCCGGGCAAACCCCAAAATATGGGAAACAATCAAACAAACAAAAACATTGAATTCAATCACCCAAATATATTGGGAGACACAGGTGAAATTTTATCCCTAAGGACCTAAAATTTGCTGACCAGCAAATGAATATTTCTCAGCCCCTCTGATGTCTAGAGTCCTTCAGTAATGGGGGAGCTTATGAATGGTTTGTAACAAGACTAGGGATGCTGGGCTCTGTGGAAATGCAGCCCAGCCTCAGCTGTAAGGGGTGCCTGTTCCCAGAAACACTGAGGGCCCTAAAAGTGGGGCAATGAGAGGCAGTGGGTGCACTACCCCCTCTTAGGTCCTTGGCAAAGCCAGAGGGTAGATTCCTGATCCCTTCCTCCAGCATTCCTCAGGAAAGAAGGCTGCCCCATTACTGATGGCCTGGGAGCCTGCACTGGGGAACCCCTAGATCAACAGCACAAGATGAAGAGAGAGTCCTCACCAATCCCCTCTGCTCACTACACCTTTTCCTTTGTGTGGATTTGTCTAATCAATGAGGTCCCAGAGAGAGGTAAGACAGGGACCACAGGATGTTGATGGGGAAGGCAGGAAGAAGGAGGGGCAGGGACAAAGGTAATTTTGGAACATGAGATCAACCAAGAGAGGTAGTCCCTAGTGAACAGAATAATGACCATCAGACTGAAATGAAGAACTGGATGGCGGAAAAGCAATGAAGAGAAGAGGTGCCAAGGACAAAATCCACAAAGGCCTTGAGGAAGCCCAGCCTGTTCACACCATAAAGCATCAAACCGCAATGCTGTCTGCGTGCAGCAGAGGCACAGTGAATGCTCCGTGAAGCAGCCTGGCTGTCACACGAGGCGCTGTCTGAAACGGCCTATGCCTAGTGTGCCAACAGCTCGGAAGCAGAATCCATTTACTGCAAAACAGTGGCCAGTTCACATTATTCATTCAACTGAAGGCCCAGCTATGCAAGTGTGGTTTATAGACAGTGCGAGTTTACTGCAGTGCCATCTGAGCTGCTTTAGACCAACTTTCCAAATCGTACGGCACCCAGAAGGAACATTACTGTACGCTGGCATCATTTGTGGTCTTTGTGGCTTAGGTTACCTGTCAACAGCGTTCCTAGCAAACCATTCCAGTTAGCTGACTTGGGTGTCTTATTTGATCTGATCTGGTTGTTACCCATTGTACTCAATGAAATTCTAGCATGCTGCCATAGAAAGGACATTTAAGAGAAAGAAACAGGTTATTTAATTAGATTCAAAATCTGGTAGGAGCTAAGTTCACACTGGGCATAATTAGTAATCATCATATATATGGCATTTATTTCAGCCCCAATAACACTCTATTATATCCCAGAAATCTGTCATTTTCCCTCCACAAAAATTACATGAGTTAATGTTGGTTATACACCTTTAAATTAAATGTTTTCAGTGTGTTTGGGAGTAACATGTTCAGAATGAAAACATTCCAAAACTTTATTTTGTTAAATTTCTCTAGTCTGTTCTGAATCTAAATTGCTGTCAGTACTACATACAAAATTTTAAAAAGAAATACATAGTTATAAATTTATCGCTGGTCATTCTCAGTATATTTCAAAATAACAATCAAATCAATGCACTTGATTTCTTGCATCACTTAATACTTTCCAGGAATTGTTTAATCCAGGAAAGAAGAATATCCAGTTCATTGATGGCTTTGTAGATTCCTCTGTTTCCAATCTGCAGATAAAGTAGAGATATAAAAGCAGAAATCTTTCAGATTTAAAAAACAAAGTATTCAAAAACAAGGATTTGAAATACTTACCCTATAAAATGTTCTTTTCATCCTGGTAATGGATTTCACCTCTCTAGCTGATGAAGGACAGGAAATCTAAGAAATCAACAGCAAATACAGATAATATTGTTGAAAAGTCACTAACAATACTCTCATTAATTCAGCAAACATTTATTGAGTAAGTATTATGTTCTGGGCACGGATACGCACAGTCAATAAATAATACATGGTCTCTGTCCTCACAGAGCTTATAGTTTCATAGAGAAAGCAGATGATAAATAAGAAAAGAAACAAAAAGTAAAGTTTACAAATTACAATGAAAGCTGTGTTTGTAGTTCACAAGACTCTATGATTGGGGTTTATAGGAATGATCTACTTTCAATAGGTCAGGGAGGGCTCTTTTGAAGAATGACATTTAGCTTAAGGCCTGAAAAATGAAAGGGAGCAGCTATATTAGGAGTTAAAGAAAGATGGAGGTGGTTGGGAGGATGCACAGGAGAGAATAATTCAGGCAGAGGGAAAGGTGTGCAAAGACCCTGAGGCAGGAAATACTAAGTGCTTTCTAGAAACTGAAAGAAAGAAAGCAGGGCTGGAGCAATTGAACAAGAGAGATGTGGGTAGTATAGATGTGGGAAGGGCAAAAAAAATTTACTTTCTGAAAAATCAGCCTCGCTGTTATGTACCTTACACAGTCATTTGCCAGGAGAAAGAACCAAGAAACTAATATAACTTCTAAATTAAGAGGAGAAGGCTGATGTCCTGTAGCCTGGCAAGGGAAAACTGCCAGTCTCCTTTAAGTAACTGAATTTCAAAAATCCTATCTGAGCACAGGATAGCCTAGGAGATAAGTAGAAAGAAATTAATATCATCTTCTATTCTCCCACAAATTTTTATAGACTTAACTAGAATAAAGGAAAGAAAAAGGTGAAAATACTAAATTTATCTATTTAGTCTTTACTCATAAAACCTTAGCTCTAGAATAGACCTTATTATATAAGCCGAATCTTCTCAATTTGTAGAAGAAACCAAGGCCCAAAGGAGTAAGTGACTCATCCAAGGTATCACAAGAGGTCCTATCCTAGTGGTAAAATAATGTCAGGCACATCAATAAAGATAACAAAACTCATGAAATGGAAGCAGCTGAATGACAACACTTATTACAACAAATGAAACATGATCAATGTCAACCAACAGGTCCCTTTGGGCCAGAATGAAAAGAGGAGAAGTGGGGAGAAGGGGTAGCATTCAGGCTTCTTTTCTTATCAAGAGAAAATAACTGAAACGATTTGACAGTCATATCCTGAATGCTGTTTTCAGGGCTTAAAGGTAATGATGGTGTCATGACTCTGCCCAAATGGAGACTCTTCCTTCAGGTCAGACCCTGCATAGGGAGAGGGGCTTTGATGATCAGGAACAGAAGAGCAGCAGACACAGATTCTGGTAAAGGTGCAGTTTGTGGGATTCACAAGCACAGGCTTGGACCTCCCTGTGATAAGAGCCCTGATTAAGAAGAAGGCATTGCAGCCCAAACCAGTTCTGTGAGGCCAAAACAAAGCATGACAAGTCCAGGACAGTGGCAGCCAATGTCAGAGAACACACTCAGAAAGAATTCACTCTTTCATTAAACAAATATTCCTCAAGTGCCTACTATGTGTCAGACCACATGCTAGGCACTAAAGACATAATATTTGCAAGAAAGAGTTAGTAAATAAAATAGTAAATAAAATAGGTATGAAAATTAACAAAACACAAGGTCACTGTTAGAAGGTAAAAGTCAGCAGTTTCAGGAGCTCTCTTCTTTATCCAAATCGCCTTCGACTGAAGACAGAAATACTGAGAAGACGGTTAGGTAAAAATAAGAATAGTCAACATGTAATATGTTAGAGTTTATGTCAGGCACTAATCTGAAGGTTTTAGTTATATTAATTCATTCAGTCCTCACCACAACCCTTCGAGGTAGGTACTGTTATCATCATTTTACAGATTGGGAATCTGAAGCATGGAAGCTAATATTCTGCCTAAGTTCACACAGTAAATGAAAGAGCTGAGACCTGAATCCAAGTATTCTGACTCCAGAGCCTGTATTTAAAAACACTATATTATAATGAAAAAACAACAGTAACAACAGCATAACTTGGAAAAGATATTCCATCTAAGCCAATCTTTTGTTGAAAACCTTCAATATACAGTTTCAAAGAGAGGTTAGTTCAAAGATCTCTTATTATACAAGGGCAGATGCCAGAAATGGCTTTAAAGGACTAAGCTAATTGACAGAGAGGCGAGGGGCAGAGGGGGGAAGAGGAGGAGGAGAGGGAGAGAGAGAGGGAGGGAGAGAGAAATTTCAACCTGAAAATGGACAGTGTGATAATAAACAAAAGAAGAAACCCCGTGGGGTGCGTGTGTGTGTGTGTTTCATTTTCTTTGTTCATTTTTTCCATTTGTTTTTCAGATTGGAACTACAAAAGAAAATTCTAGAAATAGCAAGCTGAGTTTCAGCCAAGTTAGTAGGTATGGAGAGAATTTAGAGACGTCTGCCCATTATTTTATAAATGATGAGTTTGATTAGATTCTAAGTACTTCTAGCCTAAAATCATCTAACAAAAGTAGTTGGCCCAAATCTTGCAATTGGGGGAAAAAGGGTGGGTGGGGGGAAGAGACTCCATAAAGACAGAGAAGTAATACTTGCCTAATTCCAAGGCACTGTATCAAAGTTCTGACACTCGAGGATCAACTACAAAGCACAGAAGAAGCAAGACACATGGCCCAATATCAAATATGCATGTATTAAGATTTAAAGATTTAACACTGAAAGTGGGAGACCAAAGAAGCCAACCAAATCCTGGACATTACAGAAGTTAATGTCATTAAGGCATTCCTGTGACTATATCCTCTGTCCAGAAAACTTTGATGTGCAGTGCATCCCACAGCAGGGTGGGAACTACAAAGAGGCCTCTGACCTCACTCCATCTAAGGCACATGCTACACTAAGTAGAACAAGAGAGTAGAGAAGGGGAAAAACAAGGTTTGGCAATAAACAAACAAGCAAACACTTAACAGTGCCAGGGTTGCCACTAGAACTATGCTGGTTTATGGGAAGCTTTCTGGTGCCTTGAGCTGTGTTTACTGTAAATGACTCCCAGTAAAGATCTGACCCAGCATTACGCTAAGTGAAATAAGCCATTTAGAGAAAGACGAGTGCCATATTATTTCACTTATATGTGGAATCTAATGAAAAAAATAACCTAACAAAGTAGAAACAGGCTCATAAATAGCGAACAGACTGATAGCTGTCAGAGGGGAATAGGTTGCAGGGTTAGCTGAAAAAGGTGAAGGAATTAAGCTAAACCAACACAACAACTCATACACAGACCAGAGGGAAAGGGAGGGAGGGAGGTAGAAGATTGTATAAGGGGGCGTAAATAGTGATGGAAGAAGACTTGGCTTGGGGTGGTCAACACACAATACAATATACAGGTGATGTATTATAGAACTGTACACCTGAAACCTATATAATTTTAACTGATGTCACTCCACTAAATTCAATAAAAAGGAAAAATTCAATTAAATTTTAAAAAAAAAAAAAGATCTAACCCCAAAAGTTCTCATTTTCCTGACTATTGTAAATATGTGTACAGACTCAATAGGACAGCCATATTTTACTGTCATGATTCCAATTGCTTTGCCTGAAAGGAGGATTTTATAAATGAATGGTTTCTTTTACTTTATATTTCAGTGTATAGTTGCATTTGCTGAAAACAGAATGCACAACAAAGGATAGACAGTTTTATTGTAAGAATGGCTGAATGATTTCACAAACTCAATCAAAGCAGATATGATCTAGACTAAAAGTAATTTATTAGTAAGGCTAGAATAATTAGGGGCCAGCTCAAAGAAAGGTGTGAGATAGTCACAGAACAACAGAGAGAAGGCCTAATCATTCAGCAACTCAATGCGTTTTTATTGAGTCCTAACCGTATGCGAGCATACAGTGGCATCTCTGCCCACGTGGCATTGATTTGTAAAAGTCCCCTACATGATGAAAATAGCTGTAGGGCTCAAGTGATGGCTCACCTACTCAGACAGTGACGAAAAACTACAATACTATGTGATAAATACCATGATTTTAAAAAAATACAACTGCTCTGGGAGACAGAAAAGAGGTAAGCCGAGTGTGGAATCCCAGACGGCTTCCAGGAGGAGAAAACAAGTGAGTTGCATCTTGCAGGATAAGACGGAGTGGAAGGAGCAGGGACAGAGACGAGTCGGCAGGGAAAGCATGATGTTCTGAGGCTGGAGAGAAGGGGTCACTTAAACCTCCTTCAGGCCTCAGCTGAAATCCCCAGACCCAGTTCTCCGTGGCCTGATATCCGTTAGCCCTGCTGCGGCCCATCCTCCCGTGTGTTCCCTCCACAGCACCTGCCACAACCAGGGATGAGCTGAAACTGGCTGGAAGCCTTTTTAAGGAGTTCTCTGAGGACACGGATACCTGTTGATTTTTGTTAAATCCCCAGCATCTGGAATAGTGATCAGCTAATACTAGATACTCAACAAATGTCTGTTTATTAAATGAATCAATGAAGGAAATGCAAGCATCAGCTCACGGCTTTGGGACACTGGTTTAATAAGTTTGAAGCATGTCCTAGGATTAATGAGCACTAGAGCTCTGCTTAAAACAATTGGATGAACAAATAATACAATCCTTAACCGGTGTCCTCCATGTCCTCACGTGTTTGAAAAATCGCACAAATATTTATTATGTATGATAGTTAAAGCAAAAATGAAAAATCCCTCCTAACTGAAAATTCTGAGAAAATGAAATAATTGGGTCAATGAGTGGACAGCTAGCTACTCATGTGGAGTCCCTCAGAGAATTGTCTGCTCATGCTGTGTCCTCACAAAGAACAACCTCCAATCCTTCGTACAAAAGGAGTTTTATTATATTACCTCCTATTATAAATATATGCCATATTCTCACCACCATTAGAGAAATGTAAAACCGTATGTAAGATCTTGTATGTTTTATTTACCTCCACATACAACTTCAGATGGAATCATAACCATTCCTTTTTGTTTTGTTTTGTTTAGGGTTTTTGGTT